AACCCAGGAGAAAAATACAGGGCAACAGAGCATAAAGAACGCAGAGAACACACAAAGGGAATAATACATTTTGATTTCCTTTTTCCGTCATACCAAACCCCCTCTCCCTTCTGCTAACCCCCCCCCTCAAAACCCCCCTTTTACTTTCATTAAAAGTTGTACAGCAGTTGCAAAACAAATAGATACAAGTGCTGAAGATTAGAGGAATTACCACTAAGGAGTTCAGGCTTTTGGTTCCCGTCACGGGTAACTAGCTTGGATCTTGTGCAGTTAGCACAGGGGGACACAGTCATAGTTTAATTAGGACTACTACAGAGTAGCATACAAAGGAGGAGAAAATTAAGGATCATATAAGATAAAATGTCAGACAAAAAAGGACTAAACTACACCACACCACCCGCCGACCCCCAACTGAAGAGTAACAGAAGAAGCAGACCACATCACTACACTGACAGACAATGACTGAAAAAAAAGAAAAGAAACTAACCCATAATTACTTTACTAAAACAATATTGACCTGTTCACGCCCCAAAACAAAGCTCAGTTTATCAACAAGGTATTCCCTTTTCTTCTTCCTGCGACAGTGTGAAGTCATCACCAGGGCGGCGTATCGATGCACGCACACCCTCTCAAATATCACATTGCTGGGAGCACCAACTTCTGCTACATAATGATATACACACATATACACACACAGCAATTTGCTTATCGTATCCACTGTTGGAACAACATTGTCGTCAACACCTGTCGTGTGGAATGAAAGAACTTCAAGATTCGGGATCCATTTACCAAATTAGGAATGACGTCTTTAGTAATGTAAACATGAAGGCAGGAGAAATGGGAAGCTTTTTATTCTTTTTCTCTTTTATAAATGTAGTAGAAGCTTTTACGCCCACATCTACACAATTTAGATTATTTAGGAGGAGGGCTTCTGTCTGACTCTGTTAGGGCCAACCTCAGCTAAGAGGAGACAACATGCCAGCAGAAAGACGGAGATACTCTGAACTCGATAAAAATTCTCACCACTGGGGAATCGAACTTGAGTTTCCTCCACACGACAGCGAGGTGTCTAACTGCTTCCCCACAAACGCCGGAGAAATGGGAGTGGGTGAGTAGGGTGAAGACACTTCCAAAATACCAATATCATCGCACACACATTTTTGACAAGTCCTGGCTGCAACAAACATGAACACAGCACTGCTTGCAGACTACCATTCTCTTATTTTGTCTTTAAACTGAACATTTTTGTTTGCCAGCTGTTCAGATGTAGTTAGCCCAAAAATTTTGAAAAATGTTTGTTACTGTAGTTTCTGAATAACTGGTATTGGTTGCATGTGCTCAAGGAAATATTTTGTCAAAAAATTCAAATTCTAAACGTTGAAAAAAAAAAAAAGTAAGAGAAAATACATTTATAATATAAGTACACTTGTTAAACGAATTAAATGTTTTTTTCTCTCTCTTAAACATTTTTTTTTTCTATTTTAAGCTTAGTATATTTTAACAGCTTGCAGACCATTTAATTCTTTGTCTTCAATCTGATCATTTGGCAATACGGGTTCAGTCTAAAAAGTATCTGTATTACATTTTCTAGCCTTTTCTTTTGACTGCAGAAACTGGTGGTGAGTTGTCATTAAATAAATGGTTGCACTGAATTCCGTATCAGTAGTAAAAATAGTAACCATTCTTCAATATATACATGATACACACAAAAACCCTGTAAACTTGATGGCAATATAGCAGTTTCAGTGCATCACCTGATCATAAACAAATCAGTCAAATCGAAGAACATGTGGACTCACAAGCCATGTTGTGCTCCACACTTTTTAAAACACCACTCGGTAGAACAAATATTTCACCAGTGAGAGAGACAAATGTGTCACGGCGCGGTGGAATCAGGCGCTCATCAAAATACAGAGATCAGAGAAACAGGGATTTTTCCGCCATTTGGAAATTTTTATCAAATTTTTATTTTTTGGCTCAACCTCTTTTATGCCCATATAGAAATACATTTCCATGAGAATTTTACTGCAAAATATTGACTAAAGGCACAAAATATGTCGTTTTTCAAAGACTCTTTAGCTATTGGAGTTACCAAACTTTGGTGGCCATTTTCTCGCTAATTTCACCACTGAAACTAGGTGACCTCGCTTCCTTCAGTCGCAAATATCTTGAGTTCTATTCAAGACAGATGGATATCTATTTCATTGGAAGCAAGGCAAATAGATCAGCTTTCAAATGATATCAATGATTTCACATGCCCAAAATTCGACGAGCGCCTGATTTCATCGTGTAGTGATACAAATTTTAAAAAACATGGGTCTTCTGAATAAATCACAGTTGTCGGGTAAACAGCACACAGGGTTGTTGAGAGCACAGGTACGGAGACAGCTAGCTAGCTAGGAATCCAACAAGACAGATGCAGATTTCAGTCTGAGTAGAAGAAACTGTTGCTGCCACCCTGCCAGATAAAAAAATAGAGACCACTATTTCCCAACAAACCGTTATTCTACAAAGAAAAGGAAGCCTCTCCCTCCATTCAGGTTCTATCTTTAATTTGGAAGGAAGGAAGGAAGGAAGGAAGGAAGGAAGGAAGGAAGGAAGGAAGGAAGGAAGGAAGGAAGGAAGGAAGGAAGGAAGGAAGCACAAACTGAGTCTGCTGCTTCTGAAAATATTAATTTCCACCACGTGTCAGTCTTAAGCAAAGTAGAAGATATTTTTCTTTTCAAATGTTAGTAAGAGTATTAGAGCACTGGCAATACAAAAGGTATATATAAGTGCCAAAGACAAGAGACTTTGCTACCAAAGAGTATCATATAAAGAAAAAAAAAAGAGGAAAAGCTATAAGGAAAAAATGATAGATGTTGGATAAGAAAGAAGCAGCAAACCACAGCAGAGTGCCCGACAACCACCCACCCAGAGCAGGAGAAGCATCACCAGGAAGGGGCTCGGTACATCAGAGTTAAAGACTTTCAGCGCCACCAACCCACCCCCGACAGCACTGGGACAGACCAACAGACCAGCACAGGAGAAACGCGACGTCTGCGAAGCTGCTCAAGTAAACTAAACCCAAAAAGCAAAATCTTCCACGAGAGAGGTAGAGAGAGAGAGAGAGAGAGAG